AGAGGCAGAGCAAAGACCTTGGAGGTGGTGAGAGACCTGCCCGTGTCGCCCGCGCCCAGCCACAGCCCAGCTCGGGGGGCTCCAGCCCGGCGCCTGAGTGCTGACCTGGGGATTGGCAGCCAGCCTCAACACACCTCTCACGGTGTCTGTCCCCACCTGATAAAGGGCTCAGGAAGCCACCGCCTCCACCTCGGAGACAGCCTCTGCCTGAAAGTCAGGCCTTGGCCATGCCACAGACTTGCTGTGCGACTCTAGGCAAGTCTCTGGCCCTCTCTGGGCCTTTGTTTCCCTATCTGCCCACTGGGTGGCTGGCCTTGCATGCTAAGGCCCACCCAACCCTGGGGTTCAGGGGCAGGTAGGGTAACGCGACAGCCCCCCTCCCAGCCCTTGGCCTCATGGCCTGCTCCCTGGCCTGTTCCTGTGAGCCCCACCCCGTGGGGCCTGGCCCGGATGAGGTAACGTCTCGGGAGTCTGGGCTCGCGTGAGCAGAGGTGGAGCCCACAAAGCTGCATTGTCTCGAGGTGCTGGGACACGCCAGCAGAGGGCCGGTGGTGAAGGGGTACCCACTGGCCCAAGTGGGGCGCCCTGGTCAAGTCCTTGGACACCCCAGGACCTCAGTTTCCTCGTATGTAAAAGGGGATGTCAAAAGCAGGGCAGGGCAGAGAGGATGGTAGGGCAGCTTCTGTCCCACACGGCGTGGGCAAAGTGGGGTGGGCACCAGGGCTGGGGCCATCTGTGAGTCTTGGTCAAACATGGCTCTGGCCTCGTCACCAAACAAGCACAGACCAGGTGTCCCCACGCCTGTCTTCTCATCTGTGGAGAGGGCCTCCCCAGCTGTGCTCCAGAGCAGCTGTGGGGACTAAGAAAAGCCATGGGGCAGGGGGCCTGGCAGGTGCCCCAGGACTCGAGGCGCACACAGGGCAGTGCCGGGGCACATGGGCAGCAGGGCCCAGGACACACCTGGACGGCACGACTCGGGAGGCTGGACTGTCAGCCACACCTGGTGAGTCGGGGGAGCGTCCTGCCCAGGTCTCCCAGGAAAGGGTCTGGCCCACACCAAACCCTGAGGGCAGGTGCCCAGCACTTGGGCAGCTCCTCCCCATGATGGCTCCCCAGGAGCCAGGGAATGGGGAGGCCCAGAGATGTCGCCTCTCCAGGCTGGGGCTGGGAGCAGGGGACAGAGCCTGGTCTGGGAACGGGAGCCCAAACCCCCAATGTGCTGGGCTCCTGGCAGCCTCTGCCTGTCCTGGTCTGTAAACTATGGGCGTCGGCACTCACCCGGCTCCCAGAATGGTGTGTGACTGTGCCCGGCACGAGCACGCTGTGTCAGGCTGGGGTGGGAAGCCCTGCAAACCTCGGGCTCAAGGCATGAGATGGGAGCTAGAGGGGGGCTCCTAGCCCTCCCCCAGGCCTAGGCTGTTCAGCCTCCCCACGGCCGAGGGAACTCTTCACGTGGGAGCTGTCCTGCCTCTTGGTGTTCTGCAGCATCTGTGGCCTCTTCCCACTAGATGCCAGTGGCACCCCAAGTCGTGACAATCAGAAATGCCTAGAAGGGCCAGCGGGTGGCGTGCTGGTTGGGGCAGCCGGATCCCCCATGGTTGACTGCGCGCTTTGAGTCCTGGACCCGGTGGCTTGAAAATCTCACTGAGCACATACGCGCGCCCGAAATCCCAAGAGGAGAATGGAGGAGAGGGATTACGATGTGGCCACGCCCACGGGGGGTCCTGCTCTCTGTCGCTCTCTCTTCAGGGAGCACATGTGTCCTATGGCCAAATGTCCCTCGGCAGGGAGAACCCTGCCCTACACCCCAGTCTATGGCAGGCCCAGGCTGGGCTGGAGGGGGTGGCACAGGGGAACAAGCAGGGAGGGAGCCCCAGGCCACAGTGGCTGGCGCAGGCGTGGCAGGGACCGGAGCTGCGTGAGTCCTCGCGTGGGCCCCGTGAGCCTCCCACAGCCACCGCTCACGCTTTTCCGTTCTGAAACATCCCCCCCTCC